TAGCCTTAGAGAGAGTGTGAAAATTTGTTGAGATCGTACAAAACAGCATTGGTACTACCTATTAACTTCTACTGGACAAGAATCAAAGAACCAGTGATCATAACAAGAATAGACAGTAGTTCAAATTTATTAATTTTTCTTGTTTGTTTTTTTGTGTTGTTTCGTGTTGACTTCACGCATCTGGCTTGCTGTAGTACCTGCAATGTTTATAATCAGTGCATGTTCAATGAGTAGCGAAATACAGCATTTACAATTGAGATTTTCCTTGTTTCTTTGATTGTTTTTTAACGGCGGATGAACATTTGGAGAATCCAACAACATTAAATCTTTCCAGATTAGTGAATTTCAGAAACAAAGCGGTTAGTATCTACCTTGCGCTTATGATCTTCAATTTCATCCCCGAAAATTCGGCAAAGTGAGGCGAGATGTTGGACCTGAATATCCATAAGACTAATAAAGTTGTTTTGGCCTTGAAAAGAAAAAAGGCAAAGGCTCGTACTAATGCGAACAAAAGTAATAACACGGCTTTTGTGAGAAACCCGGGAGTGGAAAAAGTACGTGTTTTGGACCTCGGAATTCAAAAATTGTCTACCAAAACTCTAGGTTGTCTGCCACCCCCACATTCAACATGATAAAAGTTAATCGATATGACAATCGAGGAAAAATATCTAGAACTTCGTAAAATATCTGTGAATCGAAAAAATAATAAATACTTGTTCACCTACCTTGAAAGCCGACCAAAATCTCTCTTAAACATCGCGTTGTTTAAAAGATAAAAGAAGAATAAGCCACAAAATGTGCTGAATATTTCACGAGACACTTCCAATATGGCTTCCGATACGCTGTTCACTTAAAAAAATTGTGTATGCCTCATGAAAAGTCTTAAAAATATGCCTGAGAACCTCGAAACGATGACTGATTCTGTCCGACTCCGTCCGTTGTTTTGAAAATTTTTGATCAATGGGGCGATGTTTTGATTTGTTTGTTGATAAACACAAGCCCGCCTTCTCATTGGTTGAAAAGTGTCGCGTGACCAGTTGGCCCTGTCCTTAAATTTAGGGATATTCCGGACTGATAACTAAAATAGTACACGCGCTCTGATTGGCTGAGAGGAGTGTTTGCATGAGAGTATGTAAAAGTGGTTGTGACATGAGATGTTTTGCTTTTCGCGCGCTAATCACGCAAGCACGAATTTGAAAAAAAAATTAAAGATCAAAACTCGACAAGTTTTCTTTATTTACCCACTCCTTCGTCGGCTGAAACTTGGAAAATCTTTACAATCAAGCTGTGTCAACTTTTTTTCGCTTAAACTGACATTTTAAGCGAGAAAAATCCGTATTTTGGAAAGCATCTTTTTGCAAAACAAGAACTGATTAGGCGTACAAGACTTCGTGTACAAGACTTTGCGACTGGTTAGAATTTCTTTTATTTTATATATACTGAGATGAGTATGTCTAAATGTCGCGGGTCGCGACTCGCGGGTAGAGGTCGCGGGTGCGGGTGCGGGTGCGGGTAAAGGTCGCGGGTGCGGGTAAGTGTCGCGGGTAAAAATAAATCACCAAATTTAACCAAAAGATAAAATAAACAACTTTTCTAACGAAGACTAGTCAGCAGAGCAAAGGAAGACTTCTTGTAGGTGTAAGCTTTTTCGTTTATTTCCGACACGTTTCGTCTCTTACTGAGACTTCTTCAGGTAATGAATACAACTAATAAAGAACTGCGTATAAAACACGTTTTCTGCGTAAGTAAAAATTCCGATAGAAGTGAATAATAACTTAACTATGCTGTAAACGGACGTTATAAGAAACACCTTAATAGAGTGTTTTCACATGACGTCAAGGCGGCCATATTGGTGTCCCAAGACAATGAAACGGCGGCCATGTTGGTGTCCCTAGCCAACCTTGTGGGAATTGAACTCTTTTCTTATGCAAACGCTTTCTTTTGTTCCAATAAATTTGCATAGATGCTGGCCACGTGAGTGAAAACACTCTATACATATGTTATTGCGTGTTGTCGTATTTGGGGGCCCATGCGATCAGCGCTAATCGTATGGCCCCCAAAATGCAACGGAACTATCGACTCCATCAGTATAAAGAATCGATCGATCGAAGTAAAACTTGAAATATTCTTTCTTTTTGTCACTCTGTGAAATCAGAACTATGAATGGGAGTTTTACCCAAGTGCACTGGTATTGTTGCCGTGATCAAGCCGCCAGTAACGTGGGAAAAATTCGATTTACCAGGACGGCAAGTTCTTTCGTACAACCGCGCCAAAATTTAGCACGAACGACGAATGACAACTATCGATTCATACTTTTAAGTGGACATGTCATATAAGCTGACACTGCGGACGCTTACACTGAATAAAGAAGGGGTCAAGAAGGGGAGTGAAAACATAGGGGGTGGTCAAGAATGTGGTTCAAGAGGAGGGGAGATTGTTTTTGTCAAAGAAGTAGCCACCTTTGTAAGATCTTGCTGGAGGTCATTTCTTTTTGTTTAATTTCCAAGGGCTCGTTGTTGAAAAACAAAAAACGTTCTAATTCAAGTATTATATCGTCTTCTTAAATGTAACAGCTATTTCTAACTCTTTCGTGTCTAACCTATCACAGCGCTAAACCCTGGTTTCACTTGCCATTTTCTGGTCTTGGCCGGGGGGGAGGATTCTTGACGAAATTTTGATTTTTCTATTACTCGAAAATGAAGAGAGAAATGTTCTAGGCATGGAGGGAACATTATTTAAGGCTGACCACTCGCAACATGGTAATTATCAAAAACCAACTGGCAGATTACGCATTTATACCCCTACAATAATTTTATTTGTCTTGGGTTGCAGAAAAATGAAAAAAAAGAAGTATTAGAAAAGAAAAAAGAAGTATTAATTAAAGTAAGTTTTTCAGTCCGATGGGGTTTCGGCTGTTTAAAGCGGGCACTGAATTTTTACATAGCCTTTTCAATTCACTTCGCTGCTACATATAGGTAATATAGAGGTCAGCAAAGGGCCAACTATTGACTTTTGAAAAAGTCATGCAGTCTGCTAAACAGCTACATAAAATGACTATTTCAAGTTAAATTCAAGCTTTGGAGAGAACGTGAACCCGAAATACTTTTTTTTTTTTCTATCAAAACTTGAACCTCCTCCCTTACAAATCCCAAACGCAGGTATCTCGGTTACTTGGTGCAAATTTAACTAGCCAATGTAGTTTTAAGCATGTGGATTTTTCTTTAGTGACTTTTTCCTTTGTATCGTCCTTAGTTAGCTTTAAATAACTAGACTTCCTCGTTAGGACCAGTGGACCAAAAAAAAAAAGTATTGCAAATCTTCTTTGAAACATAATCAAATTTTCCTTTATTTTATTGATAATTTAAAATTAAATTTGGTGATTTATGTTTACCCGCGACTTTTACCCGCACCCGCACCCGCACCCGCACCCGCACCCGCACCCGCACCCGCGACCTCTACCCGCGAGTCGCGACCCGCGACATTTAGACATACTCGGACAGCCCCTATATAGTTTCAGAAATGCAACTAATCTTAACAGTGCCCTGGCCTTTGAATAGAAACTAGGATGGCGGTGACCTTGTTTTGGTACAAACCTTCCTGCTTTCCATGTGCAAATCGTGGTACTCTGATGCTAACAAGCCCGTGAACATGATCATTTACATATGAAAAACAACAAGGTTTGTGACAAAACAAGGTCACTGCCATCCTCGATTCTATTCAAAGGCCAGGGCACTGAGCACACAACTGTAAAATGGTCTATTCCTAAAGACTCTGATGCAGGTTTGACTGCGGTGGGCTATGGGAGTGTTGTGGGGGACGAATTTTGACCCAGTGAAACAAGGTTGTGTCTTGGTGCTGCAGGTGGATGCAATCGCCAAATGATGTAATGCAAAAGACTGAAAAGGCGCTGAACAATGCCCATACCAAAACACAATAGCGAACCAATCTAACTGCCCACCTACCCCTCCCCTAACTCAACGTTAACATTTGCGTCTCACTTGAGGCAAAATGTTGGGTTAGGGGAGGGGTAGGTGGGCAGTTTCCCAGTAACCTAAATTGATCCGAAATCCAAAACAAGTGATAGTGGCCCCAAAGCAATCCCATAGTGCAATGGGATACAGCACTGACCCAGTCCCCCGCGAACCTCAAAATAGCTTTCAAAGTTTAAAATTGTGTTCTTATTGTCTCCATAGGCCAAGTCTATTGTCATGCAGGTATGTTTTTTTTATCTTTCAGATGGAAGAAACTATGTCATCGAAATCAATAGCCGGACTAGCTGGCGGGATTGTTATGCGCGCGGGGTACTTTCTACCCTGAGAAAACAGCCTTCATTCCGCGACACTACGACTGCTTTCCCCGCGAAATGACGTCTGTGGGATGAGCGCAGAAATGCAATACTGATGACGTGCCGCTATACAGATCTGGGTAGTGCTTCTGATTGGTCGGGTAAATTTGCTTCAGCCAGTCAGAAGCACTACCCCAATTGCGCTCGTTTCTCAGACGTCATTTCGTGGGGAAACCAGTGGTGGCGTCGCCAAATGTCGGCTGTTTTCTTGGCCGCGGAGATCTCAATTAGACTTGCTCCCAAACTTCTCAAACTTCTCGCGCCCCCCGCCAAAAACAACACCAATCTTCCGCTTATTGCGCCACCTAAGCAGGCTACCAATTTAATTTAGCATAAAACGTATGCAATTCTCTTAGAAATACTAAGGAAATGCATTGTGTTGATTCTAATTAACGTTAGCCTTGTTGTCTCAACTACTCCAACAAAACAGTGGGGAGTTTTCCTCGAAGTCGATTATGCAAGGCGCCCGCTTTAGACTGTTGCGCGAAGCGCGCGCGTCGTACGCTCTTTTCAGTATAGCTTTGTTGCTTCTTTGAATCCCAGACTACGACTATTCAAGGTAATAGTGGCCATGGGCACAACAACAAAGCATTGTTATAACTGTTATATTGTTTGTGGTGTTTGTTAATCAACAGTTCTTGTTTCTTTGTTTTAGACTGTTAGCGCCCTCAAGTATTTAAACGAGATAAAACCACCAGTTATTCACTATGATGTGAAACCGGGTACTTTTCATCTTAACGTCAATCAGTTAACTAGTTGTAGTAAAAGACAGCGAATACCCTATTTCCCACTCGTGCCCAAAAATTTATGTAGGACGGGAGTAAAAACATGTACCCACTGCTGGGCGCAGCTTAACATAGCAAAGCATGTACCGTCTCACAAGCCTTGGAAAATATGTATGGAAGCATGGCAGACGTTATGGACGGGAAAGGGAGAATAACACTCGTGCAAACGCAAAGAACGAAAAACTAGAGCTTCCTTTTTCTCCTTTTTTCCCTCTGCTACTTTTCTTGTTCTATTATTTTGTCACGTTTTGCGCGATTCTAGTTTTCCTTCGTGTTCCCACTTTTATCGCGTGTAAGTAAGGTACAATTAGCCCGTTTCTAAGTTGCTCAAGTCTCTGCTTCAAGTCAAGAGTAAGTGCGTTACCTTTATATGAAAGTAATCGTCTTGGTTCCCCCAGAATTCAAAGATTTTGCACTTGGCCTCATCTTGAAAATGAGGAGTTAAGCCTGGCAAGAACGCCACGATTTGTTTGACGAAAACATCCTATTATCGCTTTGAGAACTTGTGGTTCAGTCCAGGCAAGATAGTCAATGACGTGAATTGCTGTATGGCTTCTTCAGTGCGCTTATACGTGACTACGCGGCTAGGTGACTACGTAGTTACCCTGCTACATGGCTTCGCTTATAGCCTGCGAAAACAGCCGTTTCTCCTCGCTCTTCGCCGCAGGGGACGTTTCGCGCGCAGGAACGTCTGCGACTCAGAGGCAGAAGTTCCATACTGATGATATAAAATCTGTCCGGAATCCGGTCAGAAGCGCTGCTTAGTCGACGGAGTGGTTACATAGTTTTAGCTATTGTTTACGAATGACAGACAAACCAATATTTGTTGAATATCAATAGTCTTCTCTAGAAGAAGCATTTGAGTTTTCTGGAGCTTGTTCACAGATGAACACAACAGTTTACCAAAAGCGACCGGGAGAAACGTAGAATTGAACAAATTTGCATTTGGAACCCCATGACTACTGGATTTATTTTGTAAACATTGATTTATATCATCACTATGGAATTTCTGCCGCTGAGTCGCAGACGTTCCTCCGCGCGAAACGTCCCCAGGGCGTAGAGCGAGGAAAAACGGCTGTTTTCACAGGCTACTTCGCTTAAAGATTACGAGGCAACGGGGCTGTATCAGTGGCTTCATGGCTAAGTGGCACGTAGCCGCAGAGGCATTTTCCACGTTGCCACTGTTCTAGAGGTAGAGCTTTTGAGTGGCCGAGTACTCTGCACTTAAACCTGTTCACTTATTTAGGTTCACAGGAAACATTCTCATGGTTGGCACGGGTGCCCTCAGTGAGGAGGTGAAAATCACCGATTTTGGTCTCAGTAAAGTGATGGACTGTAATGATGACAGCATGGAACTCACGTCCCAAGGAGCTGGCACCTACTGGTACCTCCCCCCTGAGTGCTTTGTTGTCGGAAAAGAGCCGCCTAAAATCTCGTCCAAGGTTTGTAAAGGGACTTCTATGACGTACACGTCCCAACCTCGTCCCCAGGGCGCTTTTCCCTGGCTTTGCAAAGCTAGGGAAAAGCGCCCTGGGGACGAGGTTGGTGAAAGGTAAAGTGTTCTTCTTTCAATTTAAAAAATGGGACAGCTAAGGTAGATACATAGATAGAAAGTTACTGAGTTGGGATCGCGAAAATTACATATTTGTCCAAAAGTGACAGAGGCGGGGTCTATAATTGGCCACAGAAAAGACTGTAATGGGGTAGGGGCTCTGAGAGGCCAGCGGCACATACCCAGCGAATCGGCCTTCTTTCCATTCGAGAGCAGTGAATCTGCTCTCCGAAACCACATCTTGTTTAAACCAATTAAATAACAAGGATTACAAATAACTTCAAAATGGATGCAATAAAGCGTAAAAAATAAGGAATTTTTTTACATCCCGCTTGAACCTCTCCATTGAGTAATCCCTTGCAGATGCGGATCGTCTATCCGCACCGATTTCCACCGTTTTACGTAAATCGGTCAGATTTTTCATAATAGACGGACTTATTTTTAATGATAAAAGATACTTTTCCAAATTCCAGGCATGACACCAGTATGGGATACCCTACGAGCAGCAGTTTCTTTCTTGCGTGGCTTTTAACGTTTACGAAGTCATTCGCGTGGCGGCGTGGCTTGTCTGTGGCGTAGTTGGTTTGTTTACACGAGGCGTCCCTTTTTGTTTTGGAGACGAGGGAAAAAGTACAAAAAAAAAACGCCTGACTACAGGTTAATACGCGTCAGACAAGCCAAGCGAAAAACTTGGTAATTAGATTAATTCTAAAGAAAAAATACCGGTTTTGACCCGTCCTGTGCAAGTCTGGAGAGAATGCATAAGTGAGCGTTGAAGCTGCAAGGCGTTGCTCCCTTTCTTTCACCCGCCCCTCGCACTCGCGTCGCTTTTCCCGAGCTGGTCTCGTGTGACTTCTCATGACTCCCCCAAATGGAGAGCTTGCTCGCAGACTCCTTAAAACTCTGATAATGTGTCTAGTAGTCGTAGTAATACGCCAATATTGTGTATATAGTAATGCTTATAGTAATACGCTTATAATGTGTAATACGGTCAAGTTATGCTTAAAGCAGCGTGCACACGAATCTCGATATTTTTGAAACCAATATGAATTTTAGCACTCAGCCACCGTACTTCCCGGGGGTACTCCACTATGTGCCGCCCCAAAGGGTGGGGGTTTTGCACCATTTTGGTCTGAAAACGGGTATACACTTTGCCTATCTTGGTCTGGAATCTGGTATGGTTTTCGAGGGAACTACGGGGTGTATGAACTTATTTATCGTTTCAATTCCAAATGAGTAAGAACGAAAGAGAAATATGCGAATTCGAAATGCACTTTAAGAAATCCTTTTCGTTGCTGTTCTAATCTAAGTAATAATGACATAATTTTGTAGAGACGAGGTCTGAAAACGGGTATGGACTTTAGAGGCCAAGTCTGAAAATGGTTGTGAAGAATGAAATTTTTTGGACTGACATAGGGTCAGGATTTGGAGAACCGGGCGGCACACTCCCACCAAGAATTCCCAGGAGTACCCCTCCCGCCGGCACGTACTTGGTTTTGTGTAAATTCGCATTTTTGAAACCGCTTATTTTAATTGTTAATTTTATTTTTAATTTTTTAATCCGGATTCGTGTGGACGAGACCTTAAACTAAAGGGAGGATTTATTTGCAGCTCAAAAACAATAAAGAATTCCGAAGGGCATTATATACAACGGCTCTATGCGGAATTATGCTCATGTTGCAAATTCAGAAAATAAATAGGATGAAATTTGTTTGCACTCCAACTATACAAAAGCAGTGACTATAACGTGAATTTGCTCTATTGCATTGCCAATAAATGGCTTAAAAACAGGACGGCGTGCACTTTGTCCTTTGTCCTAAACAGGGTGATAAAATTCAGGCTGTTGTCCCAAACAGTGTATGTATTTACGATTTTTTCGTCGTAAAACAGGGTCAAGGTTTCAAACCCTCAGCGGCTCACCTATATCCAAATATTGGTCGAGTACCCCCCGGAATCATTTTAAGTTCCCCGCTTCATTTACCTAATCTCGGCGAATTCAGGATATAAAGGGATGTTAAACCTAGTGGTAGCCTGGTCGAGGCGTTTAGATAGTGGAGAGCAGCGTGAAGTCAGAGAGCGAGGTTTAAATTAGGAGGGAGAGGGAGAGGGAGGGCTCTCTCTTTTGCCCTATCTCCAGTGGCGGATCCAGGAACCCCCTCCCCCCCCGCCCCCTCCTGCCACTAAACTAAATTCCAGGGATACTCAAAAATGTAGTTGTTTTTGGGTACCCTCCTATGATCTGTTCTCCTCTGCTCGCAAAGCAGTATTTCCCGTGCCAACGGCGATCTGCGTTCACAAATTGACGAAACACGTGGTCGTCTCTGTCTGAAAATGGTAATCCGCCACAAAAAATTCAACCAAAGTTTGGACCCCAAAACAAAAATTCCTGGATCCGCCCCTGATCTCTTAATTATCCCCACAATTTGAACGCCTGGAACAGGGTATCCTAGCGGATATTCTAGATCTTCAAGTAGCAGTGGTCATCCGTTATATATATATTTTCGCTTGTTTCCGCAGCTAAGCTTTTCGGCGAAAGACTGGCTACTTCCTCTTGTCAAAAGGTACGAAATTCCCGGCATTTTCTCCAGCTCTACCAAAACAAAATCCTATCCTGTGGATTTACTAGTTATTACTATAATTATTATTACTATAAGTTACAGGTAAGCTTTTGTTTTGTGATGCTAATAAGGCCTCTCTTAGGATTAATAAATGGAGAGAAAGACGTTTAAGGTCTACTTCACCTTTTTTTTTCTTCACGGAGGGAATTTTTAGGGCTTGCATTCACATAGGGCTATTGTATTTTAATAATATCCGTACCCTAGCCAGGCTTCTGTTGAGGACTTACCTAATTTCTTTGACCCCTAGGCCAGCAGAATTAAATAAAAATGCATTCACCCCTGAAGACTTTCATAAAGTGTGGGTCTACCCCTGAAGAATTTCATGTAAAGGTGATTTTTTCTATAAAAATTGCATGAATTAATAGTTTACCAACAACATCAACATCATTGTTATTTCTACTCTGGACAATTAAAAGAATATACAAGAAATATAATTATTAATTTAGACTGAAATAAACTAGCACAGAAAATCCTTGTTCTGAGCCCCCACTTGATTTAAGAATGCACCATTAAATTTATTATTGGCCTGCTGAAAAAGCCATTGTTGATTTACCAATCAGATTGAAAGGTAGCCTGAATTTCATCCGATTACTTCGAGTCGTTATTACTCCCTCAGTAACGTCTGAATCGACCGGCCGTTAATACCGTCCAGTGACGTCACTACTCCTTGACCTTTGCTTTAATTCATGCAAAAAGAAAAACACGATTTTCAAGTGGCAAACCGAGAAATATCGGTTTGAAATGTCTGCATGATACAGAACTGCGTTATTTTTTTCGATTGTACTTCATGTTTAACGTTCAAACTATCAACTGCATGCAGTACAACTCTGAACCGGTTGTACTAAATCCTATGATCAAACTTGGTCGCAATCACGCAATGAAATAAACACACACACGGAACACTTAGTTCAAAAACACAATGATTTGCTTTAATCGAAAAGAAGCTATTTGGTCCTTAACGAAGAAAAAAACAAGGAGACAAGAAAGAAAAGCTAAGGGAATCATTACACTTGACGGTAAAAATAGCAAGAAGGTCGAATTATAACATTGATCTCAGAAAACTTCGCGTAAACAAAATCACTGGCCGCCGAAATCACAAAGCGGCTCTAAATGAAAAACCTACCTACTCTCTGCAATGATTCTTCATTCGCAGTTCAATTTAGCATTTCAGTTTCGAAGACAAGGGCAATTTTGCTGTTTAAGATAAAGATTAAGCTTATCGAAATGTTTGAACTAAACGAAAGAATGCCATCGATGCGATCCGACAATCCCGCTAAAATGTTTCATAATTAGCCATAATTATGCGAATGTTTAGACAATCAACCAATCAAAATCACTACCAGGTTTTCGGGTAGTGAGTGACGTCACTGGACAGCATTAACGGCTGGTCGATTCAGACGTTGTTGAGAGGAGAAAACGACTCGAAGCAATCGGGTGAATTTCAGGCTAATTGAAAGGGAATCTGAAATGAATTTCCGACAATTTGTTGAATCTGTTAGGGTGCGGGAACAAGAATAGCTAGGGTTAGATTATGTCTGGGACACAGGCTTGGAATTTTTCAAATCAAAAAATTATTAATAATGCATTTGTGTCTGAAGGTGGTGCCGGTGGAATTGGTCGGGCTGTCTGTCAAGCTTTAGCCACAGAAGGAGCTGGTGTCATTGTAAAAGATCTAAACAGTCAAGGGACTCAGGAAACACTAGACAGCTTATCACAACATGCCAGCTTAAAACACAAAAACTATTCTTTAGACGTGTCAAGTGGAGAGGAAATACATAAGGTGTTAGAGTATATTATAAGCGGGTATAAGAAGCCATCGTGCATTTTAGTCAATTGTGCTGGCATCACTAGTGATGAATTCTTACTGAAAATGGATGAGCAAAAGTTTGATAAAGTCATTAAAGTCAACCTCAAGGTGAGTGGCTTTAACCATTCATGCAAATGGCATTAAAAAAATTAACATTTACTCTTCAATCATTTTGTTAAAGACTGGCCTATATGATTTCAGTCAATGTGCAGAACTGCTGGCTTACATATCTTAGATATAAGCACACTTCTAAGCACAAGAAAGCTAATAACTAAACTGGAATGATGCAAAGAAAAGCACAAGAACAAGCAAGAAAACATGCTGCTATGTTGGATTCATCTTTAACTACCTACGTGTGTTTATGCATATGCTTGCATCATACTGTTTTTATGCTGTATAAACCAATATCTCTTTTAATAACATCAGCCATTAAAATTCTGGGGATTTCTTGCTATTATATAGGTTAAAAATGGATCAGGAACAAGTAAAAAATAATGTGGATAAAAAAGAATGACGTTTCCGTGTCATCTTGACACCATTTTCAATATTTATGGTGGACAGACTTAGGGCCTGTTTACATGGAGTGGGGGACCCCGGTCTAGTGGGGTTGGTTTCTTTTGTTTTCACGCTCTGGCGGACACAAAACAAAAGAAACCTACCCCACTAGGCCGGGGTCCCCCACTCCATGTAAACAGGGTCTTAAAGTGATGACAAAACTAACAACAAGCACACTGTAAAAATAGAATAATGTTTGGCTCATGTAATTATATTTTAAAAACTGACTCCTCGTGTTGTTTACATGGCTGATCTGCCTCTCTTTCCAGGGGACATTTTTGATGACTCAAGCTGTTGCGAAAGCTATGGTTGATCAAGGTGTTAAAAATGGTTCTATTGTGAATATGGCGAGTATAGTAGGCTAGGTGAGAAAAATTTATACGGTTTGCTGTGCAGCGAAACCAATTGCCTGAAAGTCAATAGGGAGTTGTAGCATCGACGACGGTGACGGCAACAAGAACGTCAAAACAGCAACGATTATTAAGCAAAACAACAAGTTTGCATGTGCATCACGTTTTTTTGTACATGTCTTTGCCATTACTGCATGACTGCAATGGAAAAGGCCTAATTTCATGTTTTATCAAGGATGTAACTTGGGTGACGACGAAATTTTCTTTCTCTTTTTGTAAACTTGAGTGGCCCCCAAGAAATCAACTCTAGGGAAATTTGCCCACATTAGACATCTTCAGTGAATTGGAATAAACGCAATAAAGTTTGTAAAACTCTAATTTATTTTAAAAGTGACATTTTCACTGCCGTAGCCGTCATCATTGCTAAAACTCCCTATTTAACGATTTAATTCAGGCTACGACGTTCACACAGTACCGCTTGAATTTTCAATCAGTGGAAAAATTTGACCAGACACTTTGTTCACACGAAACTGTTCAATATTTTTGCACTGTTCACACGTAACTGTCAAACCATAATATTTCCAAGCAAAGCCAGTGATAACACAACTCGTAAATCCATCATTACAGAAACGCGCCCATTCAAAAACGTCGATCGTGAAAATGCAAATAAGTGAAAAATGACGTTAATTTAGTGTCAATCAAGAAATCTCCTGGGTATATCCCTTTCCTGGTTATTGTCCCTGCTCAGACAGCCGCAACATTTGCCTATTCTTTGATGAAGAATAGAACTTCACGCGACTAACAATAGCTCAGTCTGTTTAAAAACTGTCTAAATTTACTACGAATTAGCATGTGACTTTTTGCTGTTAAACGCTTCAAAATTGAAAAATCCTCGGTCATTGGTGTTGATTTTGCCGTAAATAATTCAATGCACCGACTTAAAACGAATTTTTACCTTTTACAAATTTCATGGTTCGAATCGATCGATTAAATATGAGCGCCGGCGATGGGTGGGTAGAAAACGAAGACCTAAGACCTAAGACCCAAAAACGAAGACCCCCTCAAAATCACTTATAAATATCTAGAAACGGGTATCACGACCTTAGATGTGTAAGAAACAACAATATCTTCAATTATACAAAATTTCGACCAGGGTCTTCGTTTTCTACACAATCCCCCCGGTGTGTAGAAAACGAAGACCCCTCTCAAAATCACTTGGAAACGGAGGGAAACTGCTTTTAACGACTTCTAGACACTAAAGGAGTGTAAGAAACAACACGGCTCCTTACGATTTCCAATTACACAAAATTTCGACCAGGGTCTTCGTTTTCTACACAATCCCCCCGGTGTGTAGAAAACGAAGACCCCCCTCAAAATCACTCGGAAAAGACTGGAAACTGTTTTTAACGACTTCTAGACACTAAATGAGTGTAAGAAACAACAAGATTTTCAGTTATACAAAATTTGACCAGGGTCTTTGACCGGGGTCTTCGATTCGTTTTCTATATAACCCCTATAGAGCTACATTTTTTTTCTGCGATGCGACACTTCCGATTTATGTCACGTCACTTGGGTAATCCTTGAATAAACAAAGCAGTTAATTGAATTTACGTAGTGCGAACAGGACCTTTTTAGAAGGAAAAATTTATCAAATCTTATTATGTGACAATATTTTCTGTCCCGAACGCACGGGAGACAGCGATTTGTTTCTCACAACATTTTATTTCGTTTTTGACCTGTCGCCTTATTAATTTCTTTCCAAACATTGCCCGCTTTAAATTAAGTCAAAAGGATGACGAATACAGTTTCTGTGCCCGTCAATCACTCTTACGTGCATCTCACGAGGAAACATAGCCTTTCTCAAGTGAGTTCAAAAGGTCACGTCTGCGGACAATAATTGGTGTATTTCGATCCATGTTGACTTGGTCGCCGCGGGTGTAAAAGATATCTTGTTTCTGTTACCGCATTGCCTGCAGACTCGGCGAGATTTCGCTGTTCCTTTTTATGTATCACATGGTATTATGTCCTGATTATGGCGTTTGCATTGCCGTTACTAAAGCCCAAAGCCATCGATGTCTCTGAGTTACCGCTGTTTGATTTTCAAAAGTTTTTTAACAAAGAGGAAATCGGGAAAGGCGGTTTTGGCGCTGTTTTTACAGCAGATTATTACCCACGTGGTAGCGGGAATTCGCCGGAGAGAGTTGTCGTAAAAAAGGCGCTTGGTGAGGACCTCGAAGACAAGAAAAATTTTGTGAAGGAAGCGAGGATTCTCCGAGATTTGCAGCATCCAAATATTGTCAACTTTAAAGGAATCTGCACGACACCAGTAGCCCTGATCCTGGAATATGCTTACTTCGACTTTATGCCCTTTGGAATGAACTCAAAGGTGAGCTCCCTATCTGGCTTTCTTGCCACACTCAACGATTATGATTGTGCAGGCTTTGACGACCCCCGTATTTTTTTGGGTATATGCAAAGACATTGCAACTGGTCTGCAATACCTTCACCATAAAAATGTTGCACACCGGGATTTAAAGCCGGCAAATGTTTTAGTCAGCAACCAACATTATTGCCAACTGTCAAAGGAAGAAATCGGAAAAGTGTGGATCGAGTGCCCCATGGTATGTAAATTGGCAGACTTCGGTGAAAGTCGGTCGAGTGAGGTGCAGACAAAGTCGATTCTAAATTCTCAGACTCTCCGTGTAAACCGTGGCACCCCTGTATATCAGGCCCCGGAGTTTCTGGTTGGCAAGACACGTTTGTCAGTCGCCACTATTGAAGATATGAAAAGGGCAGATGTATGGGCACTGGGAATGAGCCTATTTGTTTTACTCAATCCTTCTGTGAAGTACCCATATCACAAGGAAATCGAGCGCGCCATGGATAAAGGGAAAACGTGTCTTCAACGTCTAGAGGCCATCTTGGCCGATAAAAAGCTTCCTATCGAGCCCCTCAAGTACCAGCACAAACACGCCACTGACTGGTATAATATACATCGAATCTACATGGAATGTATTCAGTTAGTCCAGAAAACA